TTTGGGGTGATTTTGGGGTGTTTTGGGTCTCCCCTCACCGTTGAGAGCCGCCGCTGGCATCACCAGGGACATTTTGGGCCTCGAGGTTTTGTTGTGGCTCCGGGCTGGGAGGAGCAGATGGTCCTGGAGGCACCAAAAACCCCCAAATTATCCCCAAAATCCCAGCAAAAACCCTCCCAAAATCCCATAAAACCCTTCTCAAATTATCCCCAAAATCCCATTAAAAACCCTCCCAAAATCCCATTAAAATCCCCCCAAAAATCCCCTAAAAATCCTTCCAAAAATTCCCTCAAAATCCCCAAAAATCCCCCCAAAATCCCCTAAAAATCCCCCCTAAAATACAAAAAATATCACAAAAAATGCCAAAAAATCCACAAAAAAATCACAAAAAACCCCAAAACCCCTCAAACTCCCCCCCAAAAAATACCAAAAAATCCCAAAAGCCCCCAAAAGCCCCAAACCTCCCCCAAAAATAAAAAAAATTACAAAAAATCACAAAAAAATCACAAAAAAATCACAAAAAAATCACGAGAAATCACAAAAAATCACCAAAAAATCACCAAAAATCCCCTTAAACCCCCCCAAAACCCCTCCAAAAAATCCCAAAAAAATCCCAAAAAATCCCCAAAACCCCCCAAAATCCCCCAAATTTCGAGCTCAGGGTGGAGCCCAAATCACCCAAAAAAATCCTAAAAAAACCCCAAAAATCCCCCAAAATTTCCTCCCAAAAACCCAAAAATCCCAAAAATAAACACAAAAAAATCGGAAAAAATGGCAAAAAAATCCCAAAGAAATCCTGAAAAAAATAAAAGGAAAAGTTTAAAAACTGCCCCAAAAAACCTCCCTGGGGGGAAAAGGGGCAGAAACGGTTAAAAACGACCAAAAATGGCATTTCCTGAAATCAGAAACCCCGAAATTTGGGATTTCCTAAATTGGAATTGCCAAAAAAATTGGGATTTCCTGAAATTAGAAATCCCAAAAATTGGGATTTTCTTAATTGGTAATTGCCAAAAAAATTGGGATTTCCTGAAATCAGAAATCCTGAAAATTGGGATTTTCTTAATTGGTAATTGCCAAAAAAATTGGGATTTCCTGAAATTAGAAATCCCAAAAATTGGGATTTTCTTAATTGGAATTGCCCAAAAAAATTGGGATTTCCTGAAATCAGAAATCCTGAAAATTGGGATTTTCTTAATTGGTAATTGCCAAAAAAATTGGGATTTCCTGAAAT